CATTTTGTGTGTTAATCAATTAAAACTTATGTTAATTGATATGTGTTAATTAATTAAAGCTTATGTTAATCAATTAATGTTAATCGATTATTCCATAGAGGAATTGCGTTTTAGGCTACTAAGCTCGAAATAATCGATTACCACTTATTTTAATCGATTATTTACGTTAGAAATGGAAACATGTCAGTCTAAAACACGTTGGGCATGAGTGGAAAGGGAGAATATATTCCCTCTGATCTAGTTATTTTTTCTAGACTTTAGGTAAGAAAGGTGTTAAAGACAAAATCTTCTATACGCACAAAATGTCTAATGTTTTGAAGTTTAATTATAATAACATTAAAACAGGTTAATAATAAGAAAATAACATAAGGCGAAAACACAATACTTAGAGCCTAAACTTCAAACAGACAAAACCTAGAATCATAATCCCCAAACATAGAAAAACATAGGAAAACACTTAGGTCTTAAGAAATAGAAAAACATCTAGGCTAAAACACTTAGACGCATGACTAAATGATGTTCTGCCTAAAGTGCCCAAGAGAGATTGAGTTAAACGATTAATGCTTATAATACCATGAATAGGTATTCAGGTTCTCTCGAAAATAAAATCGGTCGAGACAATGTCTCTGACAAAATATATTAAAAAACTTAATTATGAAAATGTGTAAGAAAACTTAAACAAGCAAAGCGTTATCTGTCTATAAAGAGACAAAAGCTAAACAAGTGTTTACTTGATTAAATGATGTCATGAGCTCAACAAGTACCTCATCTTATGATGAAGTAAATATCTACGCTTGGTATCTTCAAAGAAAAGAACTTAATTGTAAAATGCTACCTAATGGTAAGAAATCAAAAGCACTTTGTTGTTCTGAGCAAGCATTAAATGAAATTAAATGCAAGAGAATACAAAATAATTTATACTGGAGAATACAAAAAGTTACAATATTAAAATTTTGCTATTGCTTTAATTTTATATCGGTTCTAGGTTTAACAAGTATAAAAAAATAATTTTTATACCTTTTTTTATTACAATCGGTATAAAAATATTTGTAATTTATTCAAGTTTGTCATCATGTCACTTGTTATACCTATTTTCAATATTATCGATATAAAAAAATTTCTCGTATTTACAATATTGTCACCGCATTACTTTTTATATATGGTGCATTTTAACATGTATAGAAAATTGATATAAAAAGTATATTTTGTACTAGTGATATTGAATTATTTTGAAGATAATTGGAGGAAATTAAATTATTAAAAAGAAAATTATAATAACATAAAAGCCTGAAACAAATCTCAATCTAATTTCCAAAATAAAAAGACTTAGAGAAACAAATTAGGAGAGCTTTGGAACCCTTTGGGGGGCTTAATTTCAACCCCTCTCTCTTCTCTCATGTTCTCCACCCTCTCTTATTCTATTTTCATATTATTTCTATAATTCCATAGATTGCTAAGTGTTTTAGGTTGATTCTGTTGTAATTTCTTAATTGGATTCTGAGATTAGATGAATAAATTTATTTGTTCTTTTAATTCTTTTTGTAATTTATATTTTTCTATGTCTTTTGTCTCTTAATAAAGTAAAAATAATGATTTTTACATTGTAACAAGTTAGCATGGTGTTAAATCTACATAACATATCAATCATAGGAGTCTAAGGGCTTTTAATTTTAATTGAGAATTTACTTTGATTAAAGTTAAGATTTAAACCCTTGGATGGTTCTCATATTTGTGGAGGAATCTCAAGTCGGCCCTCTCGTTTAAAACGATCTCAAATGGGTCCTAAATTTTGTAAATTCGTAATAATTAAGTCATTTAAGTTGAGTGGTCAAAAACGACATCAAATATTGATGACGTGGTGCCCAATAAACGTATTGAGGTGAATCATTTTATTATGTGAAAATAGAATTTAAATTATGGCGTGGAATTTAGTAAAGTAAAAGAAAATAAAAATGAAAAAGCAAAAGGAAAGAGGAACATACAACTTTGGTAATTCCAAATCTCATACGAAACCTTTTTCTCAAGGTTTTTAGATGTGTACAATGTTGTTGGGCAGTCCTTGAAAGTTTGAGAATCTCTCTCTTTTGGGGAGATGATTAAGGAAGACGTGATTTCGCTTTTCAATTGGGTTTTTTTTCCATGGTTGTAATTGAGTTTAAAGATTTTTTAGCAGGTTGATGGATTCACCATGGTTGCACCAGGATAAAGACTCGCGATTCGCGTTCTCTGGATTGGCTTGAGTTCCCATGGAAGATTATGCGAGCTAGGGTTTTCAAGCGCGATGGGGATTGCAGTTTTTGGTTCCTAGGTTTTGTTGCAGGTTCGATTAGGGAGCAATAATGGTGGAGGACAAGGGAGCAGCTCGCGGTATGCTGGGATTTCACATTGTTCGTGCATAGAGGCTGCGAGATTGGCGTTCTGGGTTTTATCGCAGTTGATTGCATGATGAAGATGAGTTCAATCTGCTGGAGGTGGAAGATGAACATGCGAGGAGGCTTCGCGATGGTCTTTGTGGTGACGCATAGTTGGACGAAGATGAAGATGGCGAGGGCGAGATGAGGAGTTTGAACGACGCTAACGGCTACGAATTTCACAATTTCGCAGGCTCCGTGGTTTAGGGTTCTCTCACGTTCGTGATTTCTGATTTGGTGATGATTCTCTGTGCAACGCTGTTCAATGTTGTTAGGAAGCCCTTGAAATTTCCAGAATCTCCTTCTTACGATAAAAAGATATGCTCAATTTGGGGAAAGTTGATGAGATGATTACATTCATGGACTCGAAAGAGAAATTGAAGGATCAGAGAGGTGTTTGGATCCTCAGCTATGGCATGTGTGTGCAGGTGGCATGTTGCAGATGCCAACAGTCAACAACAAGGTCTATGCAGTTGAAATCCTTAATCTGAACGACACAAAATCCCTAATTTATTTCCTAACCTCAATGACCAATTAAATATCACCATGTCAAAAACTAATCATCATAATTTACATTTTAATTCCACGTAATAAAAACATTCACATCAACATGTTTATTGTGCAATACGTCAACAACTCTTGATGTCGTTTTTGACCACTTAATGGAAAGGTCTTAATTGTTACGAATTTACAAAATTTAGGTCTCAATTGAGATCATTTTAAACAATAGGACCCACTTGAGATTCCTTAACAAATATGAGGATCATTCGAGAGTTTAAACCTAAAGTTAAAAACTTTCATGTAATTGAATGAGTTGTTGCCAATAATTGAGAATCTACTTTGATTAGAGGTAAAAACTTTAACAAGAATAAAATGTACTTTAGTTATTAAGTTTTTACTTGATATAAAAGGTAAAAGAATAAATATGATTAGGCATAGTAATATTTAATTGAAAATGTGCTTTTGTTAAATTTACTATGATTAATCCGTAAAGTTCTTGCTTTTGATTAAGAATGTACTTTGGCTAATAATGAGAATGCCAACAAATTAATTGAGAATTTACATTGATTAATTTAAAAATATAAAACAATAATTAATTGAACAATAATCTTTAGATAATCAATGATGAATCCTATTTTGAAAAAGTTTCTTTATAGTTGTTTTAAACTTTTTAAATTCTTTTATAAATTTGTTTCTTTCTATCTTATGTTATTTTTTTATTTAATATTTTATTTATCTTTATGTTCTTTATTTTTTTTATTTTACCAACCCTTTTGTATATAATAATTAATTTGTTGAGAATAAATTTCATGTTTGTTGGAATACAACTTAGGGTTAATTTTACCCTTTCTATTTCGTTGGGTACTATCTTAACAATATTGAACTTATTATAGTTTAGTAATATTAATTTGATCATGTCAACAATAACGTTATCACTCTCCAAGTATCTTTCTCTATCTCTCCTAAAGATCAAAAGCTCTCAACTATAATGACAATAACAATCTATCATACCGGAGAATACAATAAAACTCCCATGATATATTTTATGTGAAAAATACTACAATGGTTAACCCACAACCCAATCTCATTCAACTTGATTTGACTCTATGCTTATAGAGTATTTTATCTATGAATTTTTTTTTGAGTAATTTGATAATTTTATTTTTGTCTTATTTCATCAGCAATTCTCTATATCTCACATTGTTATCTTCCTGTTCATATTAGTCTTTGAATTTATTGTCAAAGACATTGTTATCTTCCTGTTCATATTAGTCTTTGAATTTATAGTCACGTCTTTGACAATTTATATATATTTAATTGAATATATTCTCCATATCTTCAATATTTTCATTCTTCATCTATAAGTACTTGATTTAACAATCAACGTGTATTGCTTAAATTTTTTCTTTCTATTTTTTACCAATTTGAAGTTTAATCTTCATTGTACCGTTGTGGTTTCAATTTTGGATATACTCTTTGCAATCGTTGATTTACGTAGTATTTTTCTTACTCGTGATTGATTAATTATAATATAACAATATTTGTAATCTTCCATCAGATAGGAGTTTCTTTATATATTTTTCTTTAATAAGATATTTAATCAACATTGATATTCTTTAGATATATTCTTTTAAGGATATGGATAGAAACAAGAAGCATTATGTTATAATTATTTCGTATACAAATTGATTATGAGCATTAGAGAATTTATATTTATATGAGATGGATACCATTTATTAAAAAATTTAAAATAAATATATATTTAAGAATTAGGAAAAAACAACACGGAATTGCCGTTTTGTTAAAATTATATAATGTACGTGTCTATTTTAAAATTAAAGAAAAATATTATATAGCCTTACCTGATTGGAGAATCGTCAAATTCTCTTTATAATTTATAGGAGAGTTGGTTATATACTTAATGTAAAATAATTTTACAGCATATATATAAATATATTTTATATTAATTTTTATAATAGTTACTTTAAAAGTTATATCAAGTTATTTTTAAATTGATTAGTCATACAAAAAACAATCAAGTATATCAAAATTTCATAATTAACAAAATAGAGGAAATGCTCTTCCATGTGGATAATTAAACTTCTTTTACATTTGTGCTCAACCTCAAAATCGTTTTAGAATACTTCGTTTCATATTAAAAATGAAAACTAGGTGTTCATGGTGGACTAGCAAAAATCGTAAAACAAACAAGAAACAAAATACGTGGATGAATAGAACATGATCATTACAAAAATGGCGTTTTAATCTCCTACTTTTTCTTCCTTCTCCTTCGTTAGCAGTTCCTCATACCAGAAGATCATAATGGTTCTTGCCGCTGTACAATAGCCTCACAGCTTTTCTCCTAGAACCCTTTCTAAATTCACTTCCATACTCAGCAATGGGAATGAAGCCAGATCCAAAACCACCGCCTCTATGCTGCATGTAGTTTACAAAACAGGAAACTTTAGTAGATAAATTATATGATGCAATCTTATAACACATTGATACATTCATATCCTAGGTGCGTGCGGAACAGGAAGAAACATAACGTGACTTAATTTTTAGTAAATTCTGAGTTTACTGAAATATTAAATACAAGAAAAACAATTGAATGGTTACCATCTCCCATTCAAAAATAAAAATGGGAAGAGGATCAAAATGGAACCCTTTATCATTAAGGTTGGAATATAAACGCATCTTTACTGCCACAGATTAAAAACCATGGACCTGCTATATAGATTTTTAGCCTCTTTTGGACACCTGGACGTAGTATTGAAGAAAACATGGACTAGCTACATAAATATTTAGCGTCTTTTGGACATTTGGACATAGTATTGAAGAGATGTGTTTGAGCTTCATAGGTTATGAATGCCTAATAAAGTCATAATAAACAAACAAGAAGCTGATATGATTTTCAAAATTCTCCTCACTTTGCTCCACTGCTATCCTAGAATGTTTGTGAAGACAGGGATCTAAGTCTGACAGTATCACTTCTCGTTTGCAAACATTTTAACATTTAATTTCCAATTTACTCCAGTCGTGCACCTAGAAGTCATAGGCTTAAGTTTCCTTATTTCTTACCTTTCCCATCTGTTTCCCTTCCAGTTCCCTCATCACGTCTGCCAATCGGGGTTGCAAAAGGCATGCATCTGCCCTCAAATTTCTCTCATAACTCTAGCTTTAGCTTCACAAAACCTACTGAGATACATAAACTTTTAACCTTGTTGCTGTCATATCTGTTTTAAACCCAGCCATCCGTTCAAACATTAACTTCAGAAATTTAAGACCTTAAAATACTAAACCTAGAAATCGTTCTAATCAAAGCAAATCCTGCCCTTTGGAAACCTCGATCTGGTCCTAATTTAAGTCCATAGATTAAACAATGATTATATCCATCCAACATATATTCAACAAGTAGCATCTTATCCGACCATTATGCTATCATCTACACCAATTGAGATTGACTCCAATTAGACTTACAAATATTTAATCCTATGCTCGAGAGTGCTGGAGATATCACATCAGCAAGTAATATCATGATCAAAATATATAAGTGACTTTAAGCTAATTTTGTAAGATTGAGATAAATATAAACTATCTCCTAATATAGTATCAAAGTCTAACATAACAAGATTTGTTGAGTATATCGTATCACCTGCAATGGGACCATTATCAGACTATCTACAAACATTTAGTCCCATGCTTGAGATATCAAATCCTTTGCATGATCGAATATGTTGGAGATCTCACGTCAACTAGAGATAAAATCAAATTATAATACATAAGTGAGGGCAGACCTCCTTTTAAAAGCTAGTTGTGTGGATGAGTTAAGTTTAAACTTACTTCCTAATAGTATTAAAAACACATGATAACCATTTAATAAAAAAGACACACAAGACAGCTTATCATTACAAATGCACTAATATTCTAGATAACCTCTCTGCATTTTAGTTCCAAAATGCAAGATCAATTACCAGTTAAATCCAAACAACAAATTTTAGCAGCAAAAAATCTATGACCAACTCCATCCATATTTAGATGAGTCATGCGCATAATATCCGATAAAAAATTAATCTGTCTTGTAGTGTGTACAGTGTGACTATACTCAACAAAAGAATAGGAGCACACTAATTGCAAGCTCTTCCTTCCCAAGCAAAATAGATAAATGCTAACCAAGAAAAATTGTTTAACGTATACCTCATGCTCTGGGATGTACACAACGATTGGCTGTTTACATAACTTTGATAGCACCTGCCAGAATATTGTCATAGGTCAGTATATCATAACTCATTCAAAGGGTTTGTGCACCCAGCTGTAAACACAAAGTCAATGAAGAAGTATAATCAATTCCTCCAAAGAAGGGATGAAGAAAGGTTTCAATGGGAGTTCTACTTAGAAACTCGTGATATAAGTTTTCTCAATGGTTAAATATTAAACATGATACCAAACTCTATTTATTATGAATATTAATTCAAACATGATATTAAACATTTATTTATTAATGCTATTAATTATATAAAATAAACATTTATATGCAATGCATAAGCTAAAATACCCATTAACTCTAAAATTTGAATCATTTAATTTCAAGAAAGTCAAATTTTCCAATTCCTTGATGAGATAAAAGTTTTATGGGTTACAATCTCTGATTAACCAGCAAGCTCCAGCTACAAAACACACTCAAGGTAAAATATTTTCTTAAACCTTGTGGGAAAATGTCATTGACTCATCGATGTCAGATAAATACTATCAATACCAGAAATATTTCTTCAGTGGGTCTATTGACTTCCACGTCAATTTGAAGTCATTCAACTGTAATCTTTAGAATACATTTTCTGTGAAAAGCATAAAGTTACCCTTAATGCAATATCTCATATCATAGACCAGAACTCAACAAAGTCTACCATCTTGACATATAAATTAATGGGTGCAAAGAGAAAGACGTGAATGACATTGAAATTAAAATAAAAAGTTAGAAGATCCACTGTGAAACATTTAAATTAAACTCATATAAACTCGAAAGGTCAACTGGGAAATGTATTATCCTTAAAAGATAAAAGGAGAGTTTGCAAAATTTAGCAGGTAACCATAAAGGAAGCACTAACCAACAGCTCTGATTCTCCTCCCCAGAAATCAGGTCGTACGATCCGTTGGCAGTAACTACAAAAAAAGTACACATTTAATTATGACATTTAACTCAAACTAACAACACACTTCGAGATCTTCATTTTCTGTTAATGCTTCCAAAACATACCGATTTAGAGGTTCATCAACTGTGATGGCAATGAGGGCTTCTTCATATAAATTACGTTCACCCTCATTTTCACATACAGCTTCTTTCACAGCCATTCTTAATTCATCTGTGTTATCACGGGCAAGGCAAAACATTGACAAGAAAAGAAAATCGAAGAGAAAGGAGGAAAAAGGTAATAACTTATAAGGCACGAAAAATAAACATGGCAAGAAGATAAGTAGTTCAGTTTGATAGCAGAAACAGCCAAAACTATCATCGCCTAGCTGTTTCACATAATGTAATTCTGTAGTAGAAAGCAAAACAAACAACAGGGTATCATCATGCACATTCCAGTAGCATATAAGCATACCTGCATTTTCTCTCTCCTCACGTTGATTAAGAACTGTTCCCTTGTTGTAAGCCATTCCTTTGACCTTATGTCATTGAACCAAGTGTTAACATTTACCAACTAAATCAATATGAAAAACTTGCACTGTGGAAGCTCAAACTCATGAAAAGATTTGGCAGTTGACATTTAACAAATTTATATGCGCAAAAGAATGTGGCATTACAACTCATACAAATACAGCTTCTAAAAAAATCACAAAATTACGTAAAAATAAGGTATGTTCCGTAAAGACACTGTCCAAGCTTAGTGATTATTCACCCTCCAACTTTTCTAGACCTATTACTGAAGAGTGGTGCCATTCAAAGAACCTTCTAGATCTCAAGGTTAATTAGATTATCTGCAGTACATGAAAAAAGGAGATAATATTAATGCACCAGAGTAAATATGCACACAAGGATTTGATTCCAGTTTTAAGTTGTAACTCTCAAAAAAAGGAGCCCTTCACCAGCAACCTCAAACTTAATATGACTAGTTCAGTCAATACTATCTAAATTCTACATTACTTTTATTTGCACTCACTTCTCATAATTCTTTTAATCTTTTCATCCCAATAGCCAGCGCAGATATCATACTGAATGCCAATAACAAAAGCAAAAAAGACAATACCAGTGCACGAAACAGACATCGCCCATCCCCTGTAACCTTCTGAACTGAAAAATGCTCAAGTTTCTTCATTGCGGGAGAGTGCCCAATACTGTGAAGACATAGTGATGAAACTCGTCAAAATCCAAAGCATTGAGAAGAGTTCAAATATAATCCACTTTTTCTAAAGCATTCAACCCTATCAAGCAAACCTGTTATTCTGAAAGCCCCTTATTAAGGATGAATTCATGAACTTAAGATACAAATTTTTAGTGACTATGGACTAAATTTGGACGCAAATACATAGACCCACTTTGTTCCCCGCGGCTATAACAATAAAATTATGTCAAAATGAATTTTCTACCGCTATGCATCGCATGAAATTGTTGTCAATTTGGATCCAATACAGAAAAGTTCTCCATGCGTATATAATCATCTTCAATGTTATTTTCACCATATGTTGCCCTTGTAACACCACCAAACTAACATGGAGTTTAAAATGCAGTATATGAATTGTCAGGACTAAAAGTTACAGTATTTCTGCTGCTTATTTTTGACACTCAGTTGAAATGATCCATGAAAAGCCCACTTGGATTAAGAAAGTGTCTTATAACCTCTCTGCAAGCTTCTTTTCAACCTAAATCAACACATTTCATGATGTACCTTGTCAGAATAAGCTTTCCAAATCATATTTCAGCATTGGATAACTTACTAACAAATGCTTCATTACTCTGTTTATCCAAACCCACATCCTCCTCCACTCTTCATTGACTACTATATTTTAACGACGATAAACATATGTAATGAAATTAAAAACCATGAACGTTTGGGAACAAATTAACATCTTTATTTTCATATGAGGACTAAATTGAAAATGAATATCACGTAAATATATTAAAAACATATTTCAACGTAAAAAAAACTAATAAAATGACAGATAAAAATGAGAGAAGAAATGGAAAACTCACGAGGAAGAGCCAATTCTAGCGAAAAAGAGAGCGCTACGATTCCCAATTCCAAACAAGCTTGTGATGTTGTTCGGAGGAGCAGCAACTGAAGGAGCGGGGGAAGAAACAAGCTCGAATTTCGCAGTCCCATTTCTCAGTTGCTCGAGAATATGCTCTGACGGATTCAAAAATCAAATAGAGGAAAGAGTGTTTTAATTTTTGCGTGTTCATTGTTTGGTGAGATAGAGGGAAAGGAAGTTAAAAAAAAAAGTGAAGAAGAAAATGTGGATTCAGGTGGGAGTTGTGAGATTACCATTGAATTTGAAAGGCTTGTGCGCCATGAAATGAGAGGGACTGTAACGTAGGAGGAGATAAGTGTCAGAAGGTTATAAAAGGCTGTTTTTGTCTTCCAAACGCTAAGGAGAGGAAGAACTGAAGTAAACGTCTCTTCTTATTTGGAAAAAGAAGCACCCTCATACTTTCACGCTATCATTTTTTTTATTTTTAAATTTTGTTTATATTTATTTTTATTACTTAAATATAATATTTTATGAAATAAATCGTAAAATGAAAATAGAGAAGAAATCAATATCACAATTAAATATTTCTTTATTCTCTAAATTAAAATTTGGTTTCAAAACTTTAATATATTTTTGTCTTAAACTTAAAAAATAAATGGATATAATCATTTTAATTTAACGATTCCAATTTTTTTTCATTAAATTGTGTTTTAAACTTTCATTTAAAAGATGTGATATGTTAAATGGTGTAAATAGCTCAAACGTCAAAAATATTTCACACACAATTAGATTAAAATGACTATATCTATTCATTTTTTAATGTATGGATAAAATTGTATTAAAATTTGAGACATGAACGAATTTTAATTTTGTGTCTAGGTTTAGAGACTAAAAATATATTTATTCCTAAAATATATTTGGGATATGCAGAAAAATATAATACTAGTTCAATTTCTTTTTTCCAGAAATTTCATAATTGGGTAGTATTGAAATTTTTACATTAAAGGGTAGTCATTGATTTATGAACATGACTTTTGGGTAAAAAAAATTCAAAATACTACTTTAACTTGACCTTTTGAAATTATAGAGAAGTTGTCATTGAAACTACAACTTTAGTCTTGTGTGATAGGTTTTGAAGGGAGGGGCAAAGCAGATGGGTCACGATTTATGGTGTTGCAAAGTGAGAAGGAAAAACATAATAAGGTAAAGGAAACGATTATCGTAAGGGTCAAATAAACTACAAAGTGAGTTGCAATTGGAAGTGGGACTTGAAGTGAACAACAATGGATAGGGGGGATTGAAGATGAGAGTAGAGCGTACAACATTTCTATTAGGGATATATTAAAACTCGTATAGTAAAATGTTTATATAAAAAATACTTAAATTAAAACCACATGCAACTTTAACGCGTGATGTAATATCATCACAATTTATCACAAAATACTGACAGAACAAATCAAGAGCGATAAAGTTAGCTTAATGGTAAAAATTGGAAGGGAGAGGGTGAGAGAAATTGTGGGTTTGACTCCCTCAGTAACATTTCTATAAGGTTGGTTTGAAGGGTTTGAAATAAAGGGTGGGAGAGGTTCTGAGTTCAACTTCACCCACCCATTAACAATATTCTTAAGTGAAATACATCTTTTAAATAGTTATTAGTTTTTTTATAGAGCATATCAAACCCTCAATGACAATAATAATAGAAAGTAAGGGAAATGGTTAGTACAATTCAAACAAGATTCACCAAAACATAAAATGTATGAGTTTGGAAGTCAAAAGATCATTTAATAGCCAATACCACAACATAATCAACCACATCCCACAATTATTTTAACAACACTTTTACAAATCCTATTCAAAATGCATGGATTAAAATTTTTGTCTTACTTAATAAGCATTGATCCAAGACTTATATTTGTAATCAATGCAATCATCTTCACTTTCAAACCTATTTAAGAATTAAAGAAATTTCTAAGCTTGGAAAACCACATTTTAGGTATAACGGCAAGTTCATCATATTGGGAATCCAAGTGTGAGTTTGAGTCCCACATTGGATAGAAATGAGATAGTAGAGCACTATATAAAGGTGAAAACCTCATTAACCCATTGCCTTAAGATTTTGGGTAGAGAGTGGTGTCAACCCCTTATATAGTTGGGCTCAGATCCCATTGGTGTTTGTGTCTCCCTAGTGAACCTCCTCCTCGATAGACCCAACATATCACTCATGAAAGTAAATAATGGATAACATAAATGACCAATTTTTTTAGCTTGGATAGCCACATTTTATATGAATTTAACACCAACTTATTCAGATGTACTCTAAATCCATCACCAAAACAACATACACCTTAAACTCCACAAATTATTTTCCCAAGTCATGTAAAGCAAAGATGAAAGACACTCAAAGCTCAAGGAATTTGAAAGTTAATAGGTCATTTAACAAATATCCCAACATAATTACCCACATTATACAATTGTCTTAATAACATATTTTAGTAATCCAATAAAATGATGCGATGAATAAAAATTATCTCAGCAACCGAACAATCATAAACAATTGTCAATAACCATTCACTTCTTAACTATTTAGCCATGGCTTCATAAAATTTCTACGATACAAAATTGAAATCATAGATTATTTACTAGCCTAAGGTATGTATGATCATTTTTTAGATCAAAAGGATATAAATCTTCTAGATTTGCCCTAATCATAAACTAGATGCTCACAAATACGCATGAAATTGTATATATCAAAACATGTTAGACACTTATATAATTTACATACATTAAATATTTTGACTAAACATAAAAAAAGTGAATAAGCGAGTTCTTTCTCTATATATTGTACCATAACTAAAACAACAAAACAATAAAAAAAAATGAAATTGACAAAAGCAAAAAAGAAAAGAAGAAAACAAATGTCGGCAAAAGAAAGAAAATTTGGATAATGAAATTAAATCAAACTTCCCGGCAATGATGTCAACTTTGATTGTTATTGTATTCAACCCAAAGTTGTCTCTCCATGAATTCAAATAAAACTTTAGTAAGTCAAAATTTGAAAGCATATGTAAAAAGCATAAATAAAGTGAACAACAAATTAAAGGGGAGTTGTTTATGATTGTAGACGATGTCAAAATAATGATAACAGACTAATTAAAGAAGTGGATTGATTCTATAGTTTATTCATAGTTGAATCCTTCATTAGTTATCTTATAATTATCATTCATCTAAGTTACAAACATAATTGAATTAATCAAAGAAACATTAATCAATTTGTTAAGTATTTCACTCATTTTCAAGCATCTATGTATGAGATTTTTATTCTTTCTACCTCTTGAATTAAGTAAACAAGATATTATTATAATTAAACAAACTAGCAACGATTCCAATAAAAAGAGCAAAATTGAATTATCATGAAGTTTTTAGAAACAATTTCAATAGTAGAAATTAAAATTCAAAAAGAACAAATGGTTTTTACATTCTTTTCATAATGGGTTGTTGGCCTCGTCCACATTTTTACACCCCCACCCCTTACATTGTTTTTCACACTCCCCAGAATCATCTACACATGACACCCTATGATTGGAAAAATTTACAAAATTTGTGATGTGCACAATAAAAACGAATTTTAAGAGGAGTGGATGCTCTTTTCATTTGACTCGCATATACCATCCATATTTTTCTTCCCCAAATTCAATGTTTTCTTCCTCAATCCATCTTCTTTATTCTTCAATATCCATCATTGCCTTCAACATTAATTCATTCCATTCACTTCAGTAAGCATCACTCGTCACCTTCATCTTTTATTCTCCTTTCTTCCTCATACAATTTTCATCATCTTCATCAAGCCAGCTTCACCTTTCACATCCTCAACCTCTCATTTCCACCATCTTTATCATCCATCTCTCCACACAATTATATCATCATACCCATCTTCTTCTTCTACCTATTTTCCCCGGATTTTTTCACTCACACGATTGCACCTTGACCACCATCATCTTCACCATTCTATTCCATCAACATCCATTACTACATCTCCCTAATAATCACTATACATAGGCCCAATAAAGGTCACATACCATCCTTCATCATCATCATCTTCATCTTGCACCTACATTAAATTACATAAAATAGGGACCATTCTCAATCCCACTTACACAAAATCATCTCATTCTTTATATGCACACAATAGATCCCAACCAACCTTTTCATTCCTCAACAAATAAACAATTCTAATAGATACACGATTTCTCAACACAAAGAACATAGAATTACATCAACATAAAAGGAAAGGGGGAAAAAGAAGGCTACAATGAAGTGAGTAAGGAGGAGGGAAAGTGGTGACTGCCAAATTGGATTGGGTTGCATTTTTTATTTAATTTTCAAGGAGGTTAGAGCCTGTAATAGCACTCTAGAAATATCCAAAAGAAAGATGTAGTTGAAGTAAGGTGCAGTTGCAAACTCTACCCACTAAGCATATCTCTTATTAAGTTCGCCTTAGTTTTTCAAAGTCTCATGATCACTATGGATCTCAAACACTTTTAAGAGTAAGTAATGTTGTCAAGTTTGCAAGGCTCAAATAAGAGCATATAATTCCTTGTCATAGGTAGAATAATTTAGGTGACTCCCCTTGAGCTTCTCACTAAAGTAAGTAATAACATGACCCTCTTGAAGAAGTACAACCCCAATACCTAAATTAAAAGCATCACACTCAACTTCAAATGACTTAGAAAAGTCAAGTAAGGATAAAATGGGAGCATGAGTTAACTTATCTTTGAGGACTTGAAAACTTTTTTGTGGTTCATTCCCCCACTTGAAAGTTGCATCCTTCTTTACTCTGTCACTCAAAGGAGCAGCAAGAGAAAATAAATTAGGCACTCATATCCTTGATGTTTTAAGGAATAGGTCACTCCCTAATGGCATCTATTTTGGAGGAGTCAAGTTGAATTCCTTGAGAATTAATGACAAAGCCTTGAAAAACTACTTGTTCCATGCCAAAAATGCATTTCTCTATATTAGCAAACAATGATGCATCCCTTAAAGCTTGAAGAACACTCCTAACATGCATGCAATTATCATATAAATACACACTATAAAAGAGAATGTCATCAAAGTAGACCATTACAAACTTACATATGAAAGGTCTTAAGACATGACGCATGAGATGCATGAAAGTACCAGGAGCATTGGTCAAACCAAAGGGCATAACAAGTCAATCATATAGTCCAAATTTGGTATTAAAGGTGATCTTCCATTCTTCTCCTTCTTTAATTATAATTTGAACCATCATTTTTAGGGACAAGTATCACAAACATAACACACAGACTCATACTATCTTTAACCCACCCTTTAGACAATAAACCTTCTACTTGCTTTTGAATCTCTTGAGTTTTCATGGGATTTGTTCTATAAGTTGGATGGTTTGGAAGAG